TAACCATAAAAATTCAACAGATTTTTTATATATTTCATAATTTACCGAATAATTTATAAAAATTTGATTTTATGAAATATTTTGACAATAATCATTCCCTGAAAAAAGATTATTTAACCTTTAATGATATTTAATTAGTGATTAAAAATTCATGTTAAAATTTTTTTCATAATAATTCAATATTAACATGAAAAAATTGAATATATTTATTTATGATTGAACCTTTGTTATATGTAGAATGATTATAAGTTAATCTATATATTGATATTGCAATTCATTGATATATAACGTTAGCTTCATAGATATAATGAAAATTCCTATATATTTATGTTTTGGGAAAAAAACCGTAATATTAATCTCTAGTTTTGCAAATTAACTGGTAAGTTAGTGTTAAATGTTTCAAGACGTACCAAGCACATCCGGTAAAGTACATTATACACTCACTTAAGCCCGCACCCATATAAATCCGCATCCCGCCTAAGTACGCATTTTTCAGACGAAATTTCAAGATCAAAATTCTAGAGTTTTATTATTAGCAGAAGTCAAACTTTTGATTAATGATGGTGATGCTAAAAAATTATTATAACTTGAAACGAATGTTTGCATGTACGAGGCAACATGGTGGTATCTCACTAGAGATTAGCTCTCTCTCCTTTTTGGCCCTAAGGTTGGATCTTTTAATAATGGCTTGTATCTAAGTTTACTGGTATACATTCTACTTCCTATTCGTATCCCATGCGTCTGGAACCCAGTTTCATTCTTGATAAGCTTCGCTCATACCAATCTCTACAGACTTACCAATATCTTAAATATATTGTCTCGGTTAATAACTATATCGACATGAGTTCGTTGTAGCCGGTGTTGAGAAAGAACAGCACAGACTAATTGTAAAAGGAATTGAGTCAGATATTAACGATCCTTTTCCTTAACAATTGCAATACAAGGACTATTAGTAATGTCAATGTTTACCTCTAACCACAGGGTTAATAGTTTTTTGGGATGAAGTGAAGGGTGGTACGAAGTATGACTACGTCCGGAAAATCAATGGAATATTGTCCTAGTCTTTTCTCGTTATTAATACCTTTTGACAATAGTTTACATAGAAATACCGCGGAGAGTTTGAAGTCACAAGATGAGATATAACTAAAGTCCGCATCCCAGATAAGTCCGCACAAACCTTCTCAGATCAAAGTGCGGACTTAACCGAGTTTATATACTGTAAACTCAACCATGCTTGAGCTCAATATTTTATATCAAAATGTTTTTGTTACAAATTATCTACGTCTTAATAATCATATCATACCAATCCTTTCACTTAGGATACATGATTACGCATTACACAAGTACTGTATCCAAACCGCTTGGGCATGCTTCAAGGTGACATGCTTTCCATTATCTAATGGGTTTTGATTTACCTCAAAACTATTCATAAATGCAGTGAACCAGCGGGAGAGTTAAATACAAAAAAGAACACATGGATCCATTATTCCGTCGATAGATGAAACGATGGAGGCAGTAATGGACGGGACTCGTTGCTTCAGAAATCTTAGCACAACTTATCTTCCTGACAAAAAGGAACGGAGGGAGTTTGTATTGATGGGACCTCGTGGTCGCATGGCTCGGTGAGGTCAAAGCAATTAACGAACTCCGAGACTCAGTGAGTTGGATTCACAGGCTGAGAATGAAATGGTGGCAATTACGCCGGAATGCTGGGAAAACGCAAGAAAATCAGATCGACCAAGGCCAACGGAAAGGACAGGACGGACAAGACGGACACTGATCTCTCGGCCATCAAGCTCAGGACAGTACAAACGGACCTGAATGACAGTAATAGCACATTGATTAATCAAGTACTTAAATGGGATAAATGCAGGGCGTCATTAAGAGCTCGATGGGAAGAAGTCGTAATCCCTTAGGAGTGCAGGTGAGCTCGCGCTCCATCGTTTCCTTGCTTCTAAGAAAAGACATTCCAATCATTCTCTCAACATATGAGCTTTAATGTTCATCATAGAGGTCCAATTCTTCATAATCCTCGTACCATTGGATTCTTCCTAATCCGCTTCTTAATTTATCGATTATGCCTAAATGTAGATGTCGAGACGCATAGCGAAGATGTGAGCCTTCAAGAGTTCTCTTTACTCGGTGATCATTGCACTCACTGGCTCCCTCGTTCGAATCCATATATCTAAGCAAGATTGGCCGCTTGTAAATAAGCTGAGATTTGATTCGGCTCGAGAATCGAGGGGAGCCTGGCACAGAGGCAGGCAGGCAGGCACAGAGAGAGGCCAGGGCAGAGCTCTCGCGTGGACAAGAAAAAAGCTCCGAAATTGGAAACATTCGACACTGTTCTTATAACGAGGCATTATCTCAACGGTCTGTTTGCGCCATCCCGGGGCCGTCAAAAGCATTCATTGAAGCCCGTCAGACCACAGGAGGATTCAAATTCATCAATAGTGCCCAAATTGCATTCAATGCCATTTGCTGAATGTATCATCCGAGCAGAGGGGGCAGATCAGCAGACTGCTCCATCAGTTATTCGCCGTCGGATCCGATCGCTCCAGGAGCTCCTCTTCGGAGCCGACGACCAGCGAGAGAGAGAGAGATAGAGCTCCAGCGGGAATGCGGATGGACAAGCGAACGGTACGGTACACTCTCGAGTACGGGACTGTTGTGAAAGCGCCCCGGGCGGGTGGGGGGTGGGGGGGGGGGGGGGACGAGTGACCGGCTCGTGCCGTCCCCACCAGGGTAACGGAAAGCGTTATGTTGTTGACGACGACGATGCACGTACACAGCAGCGGGGCGGGGGGAGGGAGGAGGAGGGGAGTTCCGACTTTTCGGTCCCCTCCTTCCCTCCTCCCGTTGACAATGACACCGCGCCGTCCCACTCCCGCTCACGTCACGCGGTCGCTCGCCCGCGCCCACCCCCACAACCCTTCGTTCACCCGTTCCTCCGCCCCTTTCTTTCCCCATTCCCCCCCACCGCACCGTCCCCTCGTCCCCCCATCGAGAGCGTTCGTGCGCGTGCTCGTCGTCTGCGCGATGCCGCGCCGGCTTTCGGGCGCGAGAGTAGAACGGGCGAGATGCCCCACCTGCTCCCAGCAGCAGCAGCAGTGGCAGAATCTTTGAGCGCCTCAAGGCGAGGCCTTGCCCGAGCTGAGCTGATCTGATCTGAGCTTAGCTGACCTGACCTGACCTGCGCATCCTCCTCCTCAAGGGAACAGTCCAATGTCTGGGTCTCCGGGTGCGCTTGCTAGCTAGCGAGCGAGCGAGAGATCGAGCGAAACAGTGCGACTGGCGCTGTACAATTTCAAAATTCCTACCGTTCGGTCGAGGGCTCATTAATATGGAGTTGGTACTGTTGTGCTGCTTCACCTCTCAAAGGCCTTCTTCATGCCGTCGTCCATGTCGAGTCTCCGTAATCCAGACGTCTGGTCAGCTGCTGCTGCTGCTGTTGCGGGTCTGTTCTGTTCGGTGTTTGTCATGTTGCGATCTGGTCTGCCACCGGGGGACGAGTACGTGTACCGCAGCGCAGATGAGCCGGGAAATGGGAAATTTATAATAACATGCACATCTCTCACATGCACAAGACGATTTGGTCGAGCGAGTTGAGTGAGAGGGTGACTACTGACTCTCGGAAAACGGCTCCTCCCCATGGCTGCTGCAGCTCGTGGTTCGTTCCGTTATCCTTAGGCTGGAGCCGGTGACTCGTCCAGAGGCGTCCTGATAAGCATTATTTACAGCGGCGGTCGAGCGGCCCCTGCGGTCCATGATGGCGACGGGACGAGACGAGACGCACAGCAATGCGTCCCTTGTGAGTGCGAACAGCAGTAAAGAGGCCACAGTCGTCGTCCTCCGCCCTCCTTGCGTCGCCCAATCTCGACAAATCGGACGGGCTCTCGTCTGAGTCCAGCATCCATCCCCGGTCCAATTAAAGCCATAGACCACAGCTTTCGCGCTGAACGTGCCCCACGAGTGAGTGAGTGAGCCCCGCTCCATGCGATCCATGGGAGCTGAACCAACATATGCCACTCTGCCTCCTTAGGTAGCACAGTCCCAGCCCAGCCTCGCCTCCGCTGCTAATGGACCTCTGTTCCGCCTCGCCGCAACATCGTGTTCGCAGATGGATTCCTTTCTTAGCCTCACCATCTGAAACGCGGCATGCAGTGAGTACTTCTGTACTTGAGTGAAATCAGATTCGGTATCCAGCGTAGCAGCGCGGGGATTCTCCGCAGTTCCCACCTTCTGTATGTTTCTTCACTCGCATGTCTCAAGGCTGCGATAATGCAAACATGAGACGATGGCCATACAATGGTCACTTTCGGTGCCCTTTCTCTGAGATTTCTCTCTGCCCGATCGGGCGTCTCCGGGCTATGAAATGTACCAGGGTGGATTTGCAGTCGTGACGAAGTACACGCGGGACCGGATTTGATTGAGTGGCAAATTTGCTAGAAAAGCCGACTTCGTAATTCGATCGTGTGACACGTGCACTATGCCGGCACTTGTGTTTCGAGGCTACGATGAGGTCCAATGAGAAGCTGATGATGGATGATGAATGATGGGCACGTTCGATTATCGTGATTTCACGTTCTTTCAGGAGAAATTGACCTCGCTTTTCCCCATCAGAATTGCTGAAACCACGTGACAGGTTCGCCCACACATCCCGCTCAACAATCTAAAAGTCAAACCCGGAAGGGCAATCGGGCGAACTGACGTACTCAGCTCAGATCTAGGCCACGGCAGATGAAGAGACATGAGGACAACAACACCAGATTCCCCACGTCGCTCCCTGAAAAGGGAACCGGAATCGCAGCGGGAGAGAGCGTGGGACATGAAAGATACCTCCTTGACCGACGGCATCGCATCATGCAAATCAAGCAAGCAAGCGAAGGACGTGACACAGAGTTCACCGCCCCGCCACGTACACTCACACGATCAACAATTGGCATTGGAGAGACAGAGAGAGAATGGACACTGGACAGAGAGTAAACAAAAATAGTGTCGGCGGACTGCGCAGCAGTGGCCGATCAAATATATCGTAACGAAACGTCGTCTGAGGTTAAGAACATCATCACACCTCCGGAAGGGAGGAAGATTGGCCATAGCTTGGCGTCTCAAGGAGCGTACTGCCTGCCTACAATGCCGTCTAAACTGCTGCTGCCTGAGGGTCGGTGGGTTGAATCTACGGGAAGTGAGGTTGATTAATTGGAGAGTAAGGATGGTGAGACCACATCCGCCTGTAACTAGGAAGGCGGATTGGAATCTCGTCATGAGTGCTATTGTGCTGTCAGTCAGTTATCGAGTGGTGCTACTACTTATTTACAGCCACCGACCCATGGCGACTCATGTCGATAAATTGACAATGGGTTCCTGGCACGTATGACACCAAGTTTTACAAAATCCTACATGGTACATCTGGGCGGCTGCCAGAGTTCTTAAAAAAACCCCTGTGATCGATGCAGCCATTCAAGAACTTACATTCTCGTCGTCCACTACTAAGAAACCTAAATCTTCACTTTGACAAATCGTCAGTCCAGATAATTCTTACGCGTCTATACAACTCCTCGTCCGATCCACCCTCCATTTTCTTCATTGAAAGGTCGAAGTTTCGAACTGCGTTCTTAGGAGACTTAATCTGCAGACATTTGTATTCTACTCGGCTGCACAACGACAGGCACAAAATGAACGGTCGGTCAGTCGTCATCTCGCAAATCGCAAAACTTCTTGTGATTCCATCGCTTCACAGCAATCGCAGAAAAAATGCAAGTCAGCGAAAGCTACTCCGCTTTCGTACTGCATGAAAATTTTCCAATGTACGCTAAATATCCACGAGATGTAAGTCACTGAGGAACGATTGCATCCGCAGTTTGCTACGATTGATCGACAGAAGAAAACGATAAATCGAGAGGATTGAAAAAGAGAGAGAGACCTTACCTGTTGGTACAATTAAGAAGAAGAGAGCAGTTCGCCACGGAACACTCACTTCCTGGTGCTCGCAACGTTAGGGCTCAGCCGGTGGGAGAAACTGATAGCTGGCGTCGGCCTGTGTGCTCGGCACAAGTTCAGGAAGGGCTGGACATCGAGACAGACAAGTATTTAGACGTGCTGCATTGTCGACATTGTCATCGGCGCTATAGATGAAACGCATGCTACGAGAAACGACATCTTTCGAACTCGACTCCCGGCACCGAAGCCCGAGTTTTGGAATGTTGAAATTCTAGCTCTGATCGATCGACAGGCCAAGATCGACAAACTGGACGACATTCAAAAGGAGCTAAGACGGACACTCACGATGCATGAAAGAGATCTCTTCATTCGATGTCCACGACTGCTCGGATAAATTTCCTCATCGTCGCGGTACTTGAGACGCCCGGTTCCTCCAAGATGACCCGAGACCTCGACGTGCACAGCGGCCGCTTCGGCCGACGATTTTCCGCTGAAGCCATTCTTCGTGGACGACGATCGCATGAGAGTCCTCCTCAGAGACAGCGTTTCCCGAAGAGACCCCGAACCAGAACCAGAGGACGACGGGGAGGCGCCTGTGCCCGGCGCATGGCGACCAGGGCTGCGACCGCTGCCGGCAGCAGAATTGTCGTTGCCAGAGAACACGAAGGTGGACGCGACGGGCGAGAAAGCCCACAGAGATTCGTCCACCTCCTTCACCACCTCCTCGGGGCGCTCGTCGAAATCCTCGGGCCAGTCGAAATCAGATCGCCTGCGCTGCCGATTAGCGGCCGACGAGGCACCGAGAGAGCTCTGACGGCGAGCAAGGGGCGCGCTCATGCTCTTGGACGAGCCCGGCCGCCGCAGCAAGCTCCTCTCGCGGCGCTCCTCGATGGTGCCGGGGCTGTCGACCGTGGGGAACTCCATGGTGTGATATTCGGAATCCTCCTCGTCCTCCTCGATCATGGGCAGCTCTTCGCTGATCTCCGTCATAGCCAGAAGGCAATGCGCCATCTGCGAGGGCGGCCTCGAATGCGCCACGGGCGCCGCGACGTTTCTCAGATTGCTGCTCCCGTGCCCGTGCCTGTAGGAAGCGACGGCCAATTCGTGGTGCTTGGGCGACGCGACTTTGGGCGAGCAGGCGGGCGAGAGCGGGCTGGCGGGGCGGTCCAGAGTACTGACGGGCGACGACTCCTCGCCGCCGTCGGAGTCCACAGACGAGTCGCGATCGGTGTCGTCGCGCCCGCTGCTCGAGCTCCACTGCTCGCGGTCGGAGCCGGATTTCGAAATGCTGCCGGTGCTGGAGTTGAAGCTACCGTGGCCGCCGGCGTTCTTGGGCACCACCTTGCCGCCGCCACCACCACCGCTGAGAATGCTCTTCATCTTGCCGGCGATGCCGCCGTGGCGCGGGCTGCTGCAGAGCGGGATGGCCACATTCCGGAGGGCGGGCGGCGGTCGCAGGCGCGGCGACTCGCAATTGACGACGGGCTCCTGCGCCACGACGGGCTTGCCGGGCGCGGCCTCCCACTTGAACGGCACCGTACCTTCCTTGTGGTAGAACTGGCCTGAGTCGCTGCGACTGTGGGCGGCGCCCGATTTGTTGCTCTTGCGCGCATTGAACATGTCCGCCGCCTCCTCGTGCAAATGCAGGCCCTCGTTCTCCTGCACGCTCAGCTTGCTGATGCGCTCGTGGTACGACGAGCTCCTGGTGACCTGCTTCCCGGACTTATCGTCCCATACGTAAGGCATGGCACTCGGATGCCCGCTCGCGTTCGTCGATTCCTCGCTGAAGTCTGCCAACGCAGATTCTAGCAACATCTCTCGCTGTGTTCTCTACTACTGCCCCGCGTAGCTGTCTCTCAACTGCATTTTGCCCCGATGCTCGACAATTCCCTCTGTCGATGTCGGCTCGTGCACCGCTACTACTCTCTTCTCGAAATCTCACAAGAAAAAGAAAGAGAGAGAGCCAGAGAGAAAGAAGAAAGAGCACGTACAAACTAACTGCAAGACTGTCAAAGTGTGGCACTATCTACAAAGAAAGAAACTATCGCGCTACGAAGAGGATGGGGGAAAGGTGCGGAATTTTGAAAAGAAGAAGGCGCTTGTTGTATGAGCGCTGCTGTGCTCGTATCAGGAAACGAGAAAGGGTCGGAGACCCGCGAGAATACTGTGTCTATGTCGATCAGTCTATCAGTCAGTCAGTCGGTTAGAGACTAAATTATTACGTAAGGAGTGTCGATGAATGTGGGTGTTAGTGAATGAGATCCTCTCCAACAATCGGTTAAGGGGAGTAAGTAATTGACCTCAAAAGCGAGCTCGGGCTCGCTTTCTAGGCAGCCAGCGCGCGCTCAGCTCACACACCCTGCAGGGCCCGGACCGCACTACTGCCCCACAGTGCCCAGACGACGAGGCGCAAGAGGAGGCAGGCAGGCGCGAGCTGCGGATGTGTCGAAGGGACCCAGAATGTGTGGTGCAATGTGAGGCGATGCGAGCTAATTCCCAGCACAAGACTCGACTCTACTCCAGTCTACTCCACTCGGGCTCGGCTGAGCTTAGGTCTAGCAACCCAACCGAACGCCAGGCTAATCGGGGTCAGTGGATCAGTGGGAGAGGGAGGGATACGCCAGGGCCAAGTCCACCAGCATCGGTCGGTCGAAATCTCAGCAGGAGGATCCTCCTGCCGGGCAAGGCGAGGAAAGACAGCAATGATCGTGAGGGCGGGCAGTGCGAGCGAGTGACGACTGAATCGATCGTGCATGCGCACCGCAGGTCAAGGAATGGATGCGAGAGGAATGGCAGCCGGCTCTGCCATGCGCGAGCAGAATAAGGACCTCCTCCCCTCCCCGTCTATGTACTGTACTGTACCGTACCCAAGACTGTAGCTTGGTTGGTTGGTTGGTTGGTTCGAACCCAACCCGCAACCAAACCCAACCGCCCGCCAGCCGACGGCGTAACCCAACCGTTCTGCAACCCGTCTTTGGCTTTCGTTGTCAGTCAGACGCTGGACATGCTCCAATTCTCGTCCTATTCGGCGGGTCACGAAATTTCCGTAAATTATCGCGGAATGTGGAGTTCCCCCGCATCTGGCGCTCCGGCCAATTTTGTAATTTTCTTTTGGCGCAGCAGCAGCTATCTGCCAAAAGAAAACACTCGCTGGACTCTCGAGTCGAGAAAGGGTAAATGTTGTCTCCCGTCCTATCCGGACCCCATTTCACTCAGACACCCTCCTTCTGCTGCTTCTGCTGCTTCTGCCATTTTTTCTCACCAACATTCCTGTTCGTATCACAGGTTGTGCTAAAATTCGAGAGTACAAATTCGCATGTCCTTGTGGGAGGGACGGCACTGTAACCACACCCCCTTGCAATCTCTTCAGTAGTGAGTTAGTCCTCGACACATGGTCTTTGAATATTATCACAAACCCACGTAATCCCTTCATAAATTCAGAGATATTCGTAGCCAATTAAGTACAAGGATGAGCTTTCATCGCGCTTCACCAACTCGTGGGTATATTATCACTACTATTATAGAGACCATCTTTTGGCTCAGTTTTATTGTGTATTTTCTTTGTAGTGAAACGTATACGAACCGACTTCATTTGTAATATGGTCATTTCTGCATGATAGTGTCGTTTCGTAATCTGAATCATGACTACTGAAAGCTTAAGGTAAGCTATCAAAATTCATTCATGATCCAAAGAACTATTTCCTACAATTTCTGTACATCTTGTCTCTTGATTTACAACTATGAAATCTATATTTAATCATAAGAAATAACTTATTTACACTTATATAATTACTAACCTAATCAATAAATCTCGTGACCCTTCGCTCAAGCTGTAATACAAGCGTTGGAGACACTTTATGTAGCGTCTCTTACTTATGTTAGAAAGAATAAACGGAAAGAAAATCATCTTTGATTTGGATGAGAGCACCAGCAGCAAAGTATGGTGGAATGTCGCTCAGCCTAGATTACCGTTGCCCTCTGAAATAGTTTACGGCGGGTGATTAGATGATTGAAATGCAATTAAGAAACACGCTGAAGATTTTTTAAGGGAAGAGACTATCAGAATGATGAAAACCGAGTACTATAAAGGGACTCCACTTTCCTTTCTTCAATTTCTTCACTTCGAGCTTGATCGTACATACCGGTGAATTCACAGCACAAAGTCAAACCTTTTAAATACTCAGTCCGCTTAGAACGATTGGATCTTATAAATTCTATTGCAATGATGAAAGGATTCGCATATCTTTGAACGCGACCGGCCACTTGATATTTTTAGCTTTAGCGCGAAACCGGTGCGACTGACCAAATTCTTACGGAATTCCGCACATATCAGCAGTTAAATCTCATTTTCTTCGTGGAGAATATCGGGAATGGAATTTTCAATATACCTAATTTTTTCATAAATAAGTTCCGTACGTCTAATTAATAAATTGGCTCGCTTATGACGTATCCATCTTGTTCAGGCATTGAACTTCTTCGCTTCTGAAAATAGCAAGGGAAAACTCCCTCCAATGAGATGAGTGCCGAAAATCTCGGTCATGAGTAAAGGTATTCGTTCCAGTTCTCAACGATATAGTTCATTCGTAATTAATCATAGAAAAACATGTCAAGGCTAATGGCCAAATATGTACAGCTTATGAACATAATTACGCTTTTGGAGCTCGCTGCAGATTTCTTGATGGTATGTAGAAATTCAAATTCGAAATTTGCTGGATTTAGGGTTACACAGGGACACAATTATGTATCATGTTAAAACTCCCTGAGTAATTTTCAATCCAAGCAGATGTTGCATGCAAGAGATCGACCTGTTTAATTAATTCTAATTTTCTATACTCATTTTATAATTTCTATGAATTTCATATATTCGAAATTACTAAATGTCTCATAAAAATTAGATATGATAATCGCTTGCAAAACAAATGTTAACTAACTTGTTTTAACAATTGATTTGGCTGGATCAAATCTGTAAAAGAAAAGAGAATTGATATAATGAGGTCATACTTGGCCGATAATTGACCAATAAAACAATCGATCCAAAATCTTACGATTTAAAATCATACAAATGATACTTTTCATCATAAAATATAATAACTGTATTAATGAAATTGGAAAAAACTCCTTTCCACAATATTATAAATGTAACAAAGAACCAATTCTAAAGATATTTTTCATGTAGGTTGAACGATGTTCAAATACATTGATACGATAATCAACTAATTGCTATATATCATACGAATCATATCAATACAGGTAGATATTTTCTATATTTTAACATTTATACAAATATTAATTATATGATCATTACCAGGGTATGTTTGTCTTCAATTTTTCATCATATAATTCCATGAATATTAAATAAATATTCACATATTAAATAAAAATAAATTGAATTTTAAATATATAATTATATTTTATCTAATAATTATTATTATCTAAATTTATTTTATATGGAAAACTTCATAGTTTATTTAATTGAAATACACATAGAATCAGATCATACACTTGTCTTCAAATAAAATTTTCAAAAATGATTATATACATCATCATCATCATCAAACCTTATGTTTTTATATTTCAAATGATGGAGAAGACATTTTATTTGTTGAAATTTAATAAATCTCTGGATTACAATTAATAGCCATGTATTGCATATGAAGCTAATGTAATAAATCTATTTTTTATTTTTTAAAATATTTCTAATATACATATAGAGCGCGTTAAATTATACAAATATTTAATAGTTATTATTTTTTAAATAAGTAAAAAAAAGCATCACTAATTTATATTTTTAAATATGATATTAATTATCGAATCATTGAGAATGGAAATGTTATATGGAACTAGCTCCACATGAATAATTATGTTGAGAATCAAAATTATTGATCAGTACAGATGAACTGGAAAAACGTTTACAACGTTTAGCTATAATCGCGCTATCCTAAAATTGGATTTGTGATATCCTAAAATGCTTGTAAACTTAGTTAGTGTTATTATAACTGAATCTTCATATTAAACAATATAAATAAGTCCATGATTTTTTCTAAGATTAGCAAAGGGGCTCATGGGAATCTATCAAAGAGCGTGGAAGTTACAACCTTGACGGGGTCTTTCCGTCAATTGTTTAATTTTTATTTATCTACTTGGCCCCCGGGTTCTAAAGAATAGAAACTCGAAAGTTTTAATTCTAAATTATATCAGTAACGTCTTAAAAAATCATAATCCATGGATATTGTATGTTACATAAATAAATAACATAATTCTCTGTAGATTTGAAGTTAGAAACTTATAGATTTACCAAAACAGAGATTGTCTCTGTACCTTCTTTCGACCCTCGGGCTGAGTTTGAATACAGATTCAGATTCGGCTCTCAATTATTGTAGATGGCTTGGCATTGCTTTCTTAATTCCATGCGTCCGCTTATGCAATCTACAGCCTACAAACTCGAGAAACGTGTCGGGAAACAATCAGGCGATAGATCGCCTTGATGTCATGGGTGCTTGACCATGGCCACGGTTAATTATTAATATTCTTCTCTATCTCGGTCGACATCAACTCGGTAGGTGGGGTCTTAACCCCTCGACATGGTTGGGTTCCAAGTCAAACGAAGTACGTCACATAGCCGCATGGCAACGAATTCCTCCAACGAAGAATTGCAAGCTCCAATGAATTGCTAGAGGAAAGAAGTGAAATTACCTTCGGGAAAAGCGAACCCGCAAATGTCCTATTTTCATACAGTAGCCATCCAACTCAGGATCTTCAGGATGGTTTCTCGCTCGAACTCGCCAGATTCCAAGTCCAGACAGCGGAGGTTCGTCAGTTACTGACAGCATTTAGGGATGAAGACAACGGATCGTCCAGTGGCGAAGGAATGGCGAGTTAATCTGGTCTAATTTCCGAGTTATCGGGGTCCAATGCCGGGATTGTGAGAATGGATCACGAAGTCAGCTCGGCGTGCAGGCGATAGGACGGAGAGCCCAGCAAAGAAAGGTGCAACCGAAACTGGGCCTCCGTTCCGTCGAGCTCAGAGCGTGCACGCATGCGCACGAATCTCATACAGTATAGAACAAGCGCAACTTGGTCGAGAGGGTATTCAGGGGCGGATTGCAGTTCGTGGAGCTTGGGGATTTGTCTCGTCGTCGTGGTGGGCTTCTGGCATACGCGTTGCCGCGCCGCAGGCTTAGTTGTCATGACGAACTCTGGTCGGTTCTGCAGCACACGAGCTTACGCAATTTTTGACCAGGCTCTGCTGAATTAGAATGTGAGAATCTCCAATTCCAGGGAAAAATAGGCCACAGCACACCGGCGCTCACCACCACCTTAACCCGAGTAAGAAGCCAAACGAGTCCTGAATTGTCTGGTTGCTGCTCTCGACAAGACAGACGACAAGCGAGACTAGTATAATGCCGCATTCTGTATCGTCCTCCGTCCTCAGTCCTCATCCATTGTACGTATAAATAAATAAATAGAAATATTTGGGAATAGAATATAATAAAATAGGATCGAATCCATAGTGCGTTGCTCATGTTCTCTCGTATGCGAGCGAGCGACCTTTTGCTGCATTGTTCAGCACCAGATTTGGCTAATTGTATATGTCGTACTCTTGACACTTATTGTATTTCTATTTCGCTTCATCCATCTGATCCCCAGCCATCCCTCTTCCATAATCCCCATATCTTCATTCCTTGCTATGAGATTTTTGATACGATACAGTGCTGCGCTATATTTACGAGCTCGGCACTCCTTCAGTTTCGGACATTTGATCTCTCGCATGCCATGATTGCTACAT